ATGCCTGTCCAAAAAAAAAAAAGATGGAAAAGCCCTCATTGTTTGTCTGGAAAATTCATACCCAGTTTGCGAAGTGCATGGGTTCCAGATTCAACCAAAAGAGCAGCAATGCATACTCTGCTTACAAGGCAAAGTGCACTGGAAGTGCACAGTGGAAACCAGATAGTCCAGTGTGAAGAACTAACTTGTTCTCTGAAGACCACAACCTGCAGGTGTTCAAAGGGGGGAGAAAAAACTGAAAAGTAATGAGCGATATTCAATATTTCTCATACATAAGAAGAATTGCTCTAAGATAAACAGCACGATATTTGAATTTCTATAGTGACCCGTGCCAATGTAATACATTTCACCAGTAAGCACTCTGGATATCGCAACATCTGAGGTATTGACATTTAGAAGAACAAAAGGTGCATTTTAAATCCTACTTAAAAGAACCAAGCTGTTACTGTTAGCAGTACAGACACTCCTATGCAAAGCTGAATTAGCTATCTGATGTAAAGACTTGCTACGGATCACCCGACCCAAGCCCAGGGTCAAATAAACTCATAAAAACCTAAACTCCTATTTGACACCAAACCACAGTGATATTCTGAGAGGGGGTATTGCTCATCTCCCTAGAGCAAGCAGAAACTTGTCAAAATTGCTGATTTCGTACCCGAGTTAATTGCAAGAAGTTATTCGATAGCATCTACAGTATCTACCGTCAACGTCAACAACACACAGACAGAAAATGACTGTGTGAGAGGAGCCAAAACACTTCTCATTGTACGACCAAGTCGCCTTGCAGACCTAAGCGGCTAATTTACCTGAATCATAGCACAATTTACTGGCTTTCAGGACATGACGACACGGCCCAGGAGACTCAGCCTATTGGAAACCCTCTGGCAAAAAGCTAACTTTATTATCCATGCCGTTAGTTGCCAACCCGATCTGAGCAGAGATTAGAGACAGGAGCCACATATGCCTCCGTGACCGAAAAACACTGAAGGAGCAGAGCAGCTTCACGAGAGAATTTTCAAGTCGCCTACTTTGGGTGGACTCCTTTAACAGACTGCATTTGCGGTGGCGAGCGAGACGGTGGGAGTGTGCAGAGGAGAGTGAAATTAAATAGGACCAAGCAAACACATGGTTCCCACTTTAAGGTGAGGTTACTAAACAACCAGAAACATGCAGTAGGGCTAAGAGATGAGGAAACCCACGGCTTATACTATAGCTCCTGTTTACACAGTAATACTGCATTTCTCGGCTCTGTACCTGTACTCAGCACAATGAATGAAATAGCTGTGATGATGATGTAGGAGTCAGGACTATTAACTGCCTCGCTTTAACATCAATTTGGACAAAAGCATGTGCTGAATAAATGCAAACGCAGTACTTAGGAAACGAAAGTACAATCAGATACCAAAAAGTGACTAAATGCAGCGCAAATTTCGCCGCCTCCATCCAAGACAGCCTACAAATCTTCTGTTTTTTCACCCTTAAAATACATAGGAGGTCTAAAATTGGCCTCACAAATTTACGACATACTTTGAGTATTTCTTCATTACAATCTCGACAATCTTCAAAAGGGCTTCTCGTTAAAAACCGGTTTTTTCAGGCCTACGTGCTATTTCGCTGAGTTTTCCTCTCAAAGATTACAGCAAGAACCCAGTTACTGAACAACCGAGAAAACAAACACATCTGTACTCACAATGCTCTGTATGAATTTCTCTAAGCGTTGGCATCTCGCTAGACAGAGCTACATTTATCACTGGGTCCAAGCTCAGAAAATCGCTCCAACGGATTAACCGATAAAAATTCTACTTCAAAATTCAGAAGAAGAACCAGGCAGTCTTCCCCGTAGTCCGGGAAGAATATAAATATATTGTTGATCTGCCTCTCAGCACCACATAGGACATGCAGCAGTGGGCTCGTTAGAGCTGTCAGTAAAAGTAAACGCACTCCTTCGGATTGCACGCGGCAGCTCGCAGCTCCAGGCGCACAGCACGAGCTGCAGGTGCTAGCCGGCTCGCGGAGGCCGACCGCGAGAAGTGCGACACCTATATATGAACGTAAGACGACGGCTCATTGTGGCCGCGGTTAGCACGGGAAGGACGCTCTTAACTCACTGTCAGATACACTGTGGCATTTACATATTTTGCACCTCCCAGGTCACAACATCTTATTTCGTAACCTCTTATTACATTATTAAAGATGGGGTGGAGATCCAAGGGTCTAATGTTACATATAATGTATACAGTCATCTATACAGTACAGTACAAATACTAGCAAATTACTACAAGTGTTTAAAATCAAATGAGAAAATGTACGTCGTCATTTAACTGCAACATGTACTTTGCCATAAAGGTGAAATTATGCATGTAGGAATTTCATGTAGGCTATTGTTCTTAAAGAAAATATGTTTTAATGACAAAGTAAGCAAAATATTTTACTACTGCAACAATACTTTATCAACCAGTATTTTGGCACGCACAACGGCTTTCAACAGACGCAGGCAGCCAAATCATGTAAACATCAATCAAATCAGCTCAGCAGTTTAAGGCCATACCGCCTGGAAGAAGAAAAAAAAACTTCTTCTAGCCAATACTGGAAACGGCTCAGCGGGGAAAGAATAAGAGAAGGAGGGAAAATGTATTTCTCCGCGAAAATCTGAAGTCAATTTTCCCCGAGATTAAAATTCACTGCAAAACACACATCTCAGCGAAGCTGGAGGCACATATTTTGAACACTAAGAAAAAGGAGGATGGACAGAATCACAATCCATGCTCCTGTTCCTAATGCCCGTTCCCACGTTGAAGCCCACTGCCGTACTTTAATTCTTATAGTAGGCTACCTTATGGAAGATACTGCGGAACATTTAAAAATTAGCAATCGATCTGAGAAGCGGCCGTGTCAAATGGACTTTACACTAAAACCAATGTTCGATTCTTGGAAAAAAAATCCTATCAGGATCACGGCAACTCTTTATTAGAAAGGAAAGGGTAACCCATTTTAAAAAGCAATTTGCCTTTACATCTTTAAAAGATGGAACTTCGCTCACTATAGAAAACAGACCGCGTTTTGGTTATGGCTTTTCCAACAGGTGTTTTGGTGTGCGTTGTGCATCAGTAAATGAACTCCACTTGTAAACTGCAGCATCAGTCTGTGCTAACGCAAGACAATTGATAGTTGTCTAGTTCAAAGGTAAGTTGCCTCGTGGAAGTGTGCAAAAAAATCCAAGTGCTTACAACTCACGGCTCAAAAGAAATCTTTACTTATGCCATACATATTTCAAACGACCAACTGCGCAAATTGCACGTATAGTAGGCGGGAAAGTTGTGCATGTTTAAATAAACCCTTACACGTTTTGAAATACGAGCGGCAAATCGAGCGTCCTAAGCCGTACAAACCAGAAAATACAACTCTGACAGTTTTGCATGGTGTGCAACTGATTGAGCAAGCGAATACACCATCGGGGTGGGGTGGGGTGGGGTGGGGGGGGGGGGGTAATGCGGCGTCGCCTCGAGGGTGCAAACCCTGCGCCGCAGCCAGCAACCCTAAACAAGACCCAGTCTCTCCGATCCGCCCCACCAAAAGCTACATCCCGATTATATCCGTAGGGCGATACTGGGTAAAATCTGAACAGGGCACTATCATACGAGTAGAACCATTGGTTATAACGTATAACAGCTGCATAAAAAGAGGCAGCGAACAGCGTCACAAACTATTCAGTTTTCTCTTAAATGAAAACTTGCATTCCTCACACAAGGGCGTCTTTGACGCCGTTCTGCAGCTGGGAAGACAGCACAGAGATTAGGTCTGAATATTTCTAAACGTCAATACAATTTAATACGATGTGTATACTGTTAAAAAGTTGAGAGACGATAATACGCACCGTGAACTTCACGTCTGCTAATAAAAGGCAAAACATGGTGACAATGATAAGATATAAACATGGATTGTGCCTGGATGTGATACAATATGATACAGTGTTCGAAGGAAATGTAATGCAGCAATACCACTGCGTGACCCCCCCCCGCCCCCCCCCCCCCCCCCCCCCATACTCCCCGCCTCTGGCATTATACTATCTAGCATTCCTGGGATTCTTGCACAGAGCACACCTGCCTATTCATTCAGTTACTATTCAATGCAATCGCTTCGTTGTGACAGCGCCAATGTTACAATGTATCCGAGCCAAGCGCCAAACGCTAATGAACACATGGCGTATTAAAAGTTATAATACAGAGAAAATCTGCCAGTGAGATTTATGAAATGCCGCCCGACCTTTATCAATCAGCAAACGGTATAAGTGACAATGTAAAGGTGACTCTAGGGTAACCTACTTGGTGGCTCGTGTACACTCTGCATAACCGCAAATAACGCGAATAACGATGCAAACTTAATGCAAAGCACATTATGCACAAATTTCATCACATGCAGCCCAGTCGAATCTCAGAACCACTTCGGTGCTGTGCAAATTACACCGATTTCACTTCGTCCGAAAAAATTAAACAGGGATCTTACCTTGAGGAGGAGTGCAGTCACCGTAAACCGTAGGCGCTGGAGCGGAACCCCATCGGAACATGCGGCTGTAGTTATGCAAATATATTTAAGATAAACGCCGACTCGCTCCCAGACGTTCAGCGGTCTAATTTGCCTCCATGGCTCAGAGCGAAATCTCTGCTTTCCTCGCTCGGCTATACCAACCGAGGGAGTACAGTGATGCATGACGTCAACGCGATGGGAGCGCAAGCCATTGGCCATGGCCGGAAAATATCTTGAATTTCATTGGACGGTCGTTTTATTAAATCTACCAATGAGGATGTACATGCATGTTTCCTTGGTTACCAGATTTGTCAACCAACAATTAGTGCTTGAAGGAGGAGGCTTTAATTAGGTTTTTTTAAAGAATTTGAAAGGTAAACGTTGTCTGTAACTAGGATTAATTGTTTCAGATCCAAAACGGATATCAAATCTCTTCGTTCAGCGTTACATTACTTGGTACAACATGTGCATTTACAATCCAGGTACTTAGCCGTGTAGTGCAATCGATTCCTAGCGGTATGTGTACCTCTTAGTAGTACAAATGTTGAAGTTATATAACAATAGCAGTGTTATTAAAGAAAATAGTTGACTAGCTGTCTATGCTAATGATAGACTAGTGCACATTGTATAGTATGTCAATTCGTATGATCGGTTTTTTATGTTTTAAGGTCCATTTGTATTTTGTTATTAACTATTATTTATGCTGCCTGAAAAAAATTCGTTGCAAAGAGTAATAGTAGCCTCGGATACGTCAGCTGATCTTTGGTTTCTCAATATTTTTTTCTTTTATAATAAAACTGAAAATTTCCATTTAATTTACTGTTTTCCGTTGTTACATTAATCTTTGGAGACGGGTGCATTACTTTAAACAGACACAATTTAAAGGTATATCCGTTTCAAGCAATGTTAAAAATCATTTTGTAACATATACCGATAGGTCAGTGTAACGTTCCTTAGGGCTGCCTCGGGGAAATTATATTGAACAGAAATATTTCAAACATTTCGCTTCTCTCTTGATATAAAAGTGGTCAAATGAGGTTAAAGCCTATTATTAACTTGAGAATTAACTGCTTTCTAAGTGGTTAATTTCGTATACAATCCAATTTTCTTACAGTAAAATGGTAAAGTCACGCGACCTTGCTCAGGATAAGCGGTTGTAAGATGCAATTAACTATGAGCAGTGAGGAAGCTCGACAGTAAATCACTACCTTAATGTAAAATTGAATCCTGTTGGGCTTTATAAGAGACGAGTCGCTCGTTATTTAACGTGTCCTGCTATTATGAGTCAGCATTTATGTACGTACGCTCCGGCGTTAGCGGCCTTAATGAATCGTAATCTGGGCTAACATGCATAAATCAATATCCAAGAACCATAGGTCAAAACACAACCAAAGGAAATATTAAGAACAAAACTGTACAGGGTTGGGAATGCCTGGAGCCTATCTAAGGCTGGAGAAAACTCTGGATGTGATTCCAGTCCAATCACAATATGCAAACGCTATGGGCTGTTTAGAGATTCCAGTCAAGGGCATAACTTTGGGTTGAGCATTGGGGAGTTTAAGGTCGCCACCCATTTAAGGGGGTCCAGGGGGGTTTAATTATTAAGGCTGTAATTATTGGGGAGGGGCGTTACAAGCCCCCATCCCCCCATAATTGACATCCACGATGCCTGGGCTAAAACCCACACAACATCGGGGGGAATCTGTCCTGAGAAGCACAGGGCACAAGGCAGGAGACACCCCAAGGCAGGAGACACCCCAGAGGGGATAAATGTCATGGCAGGAATGCAAGCACTGCGTTTATATCCAGCTGGTCAGCAGGTGTGTGAGCTCTGAGCAACAGAGATCTGCATCAGTTCTTAACTTGCCATCACGATAGCGATGAGTTCATTCTCGGATTTTGGAAATTTGATCCCCACATGAGGCTGACATTCCTACACGTGCTCGGCGTACTCCATTGCATTCTTATTCGCACAGTGACTCTGAAGTTCCGGAACATAAATCACGATGGAAGTACTCTGCCTATGACAAAAGAAAAACAATGATGGATGTAGTGTCTTCATAGATATTTGTTTGGAATTCAAGGGGTGGATAGTTGACTGTTTATATTTTTTTGCCTCACTTTGCTTTTGTGGTCGACCAGCCATGCCCCCCCATCCCACCCCTTTTGAAAATGGAGGAATTTAATGTCTGCAATTAACGGCACGTCTGAACTTTGAATCCAGTTTTTCATCAGTCTGGTTGACGTTTTCTCTCACTGATACAGGGAGGCTGCACTGACGAATGAACGCCGGCATGGGAAGTGGGAAATACAAGCCAGTTTGCTACGAAACCCTACAAACCTTGGTGGAAGCCAAGAAACGTGATTCTGCTCAGCTTGAGGAAAAGGTAGGACTGACCTTTTTCAGAATTCTCTTACAGGCCAACATACTAGCTGATGCAACTATTATATACTACATGGGTTCTTTACACTAATTTAATATTCTGTTTTCACACAATATTCCTTCCAGTTTCGTCCTTTTCTCTACTTAATGAATCCAGTGTTCTGTGAGCAATGGTTCCAATGATCTGCCACGAGATTTGCTCCAGGGCAGATGGAGAACAAAACTATGTGACTCATGGATGGGATAGGAATGGAGATGTGTGCAGCAAGAAGGACAGGGGGAAATGAACACAATAGAAAGACATTTCAACATGGGGAAGTCATCATCCATTCTGTCCACTTCTCTAGCTCTTCACTGCTTTTCAATTACCAGGCCATGCTGGTTCTGTCCCAGGAAGATCAGGGCACAATGCAATGGGCACCCCCACTAGTCCCTATAAAACCACAATAAACGCTATATCACTAAAAGATGCACATCTCATTACCATAATAATCAAAGTGTTTAAGATTGTGTATTAGCTACAATGACTTTCATTGGGAAATGTGCAGGAACATATTCGACCAAAGTATTGACCAAATAATTCTTATGACACGTCTTATAATAAAGCATATTCTCCAGTAGTATGTTTTAAAGTATCATGAGCCCTGAGCAAAAGGCTAACAGCTTAAGTCAGAGGATGAGCCTATTTCTTGTGCCACTGTGCAATAATCGTCGAAGAATAAATTCAGTATCCAGGCTATGGGGTTTAAATTAAATGAAAATGAAGTCTGCGGTGTCTGTTCAAATGCAGGAATGACACAAACACATTCCATATTGTAAATGAATGAATTACAGCTTGGGTGTTGAAGCTGAGCACATTTTATGGGTGGCAAAATTTAATAATCAACAGAAAACATCACGAAAAGTGACCAAATCTGCACTGGACAGAAGTAACTTTAACAGAAGGTATATCTCAACATCTCTTTGGACCTGCAGCAGTTTTGCCAAAATTGCACAAGCTCTGAGAAACCGGTTAGGAATGTCGAGGGACAGCAATATTTAAAATCTTTTCTGGAAGATGTTTGCGTGTGTGTGGTGGTTCCTTCCGGGTTCTCCAGTTTCCACCCGCAGTGTAAAAACATGTGGTTAGCCAAGCCGGAATGTCTAAGTCGCCCATTGTTTCTGAAGTGCCCTGCAATGAACAAGCATCCTGTCCAGGGTGTGTGAGGTACTCCAGGCTCTCTGTGACTCCATGATGTTGAGGTAGGTATGGAGAGTGGATAGTTTTACTGGAATATATTCTCTGTGAAGGTTTTTATTTGTTTAGTGTGCTGGCAAGACATTTGTCATCACTGTTGCTGAAGAGTCACTTTTTTCTCTCCTTCATAAAGTGTTTCAAACTAAGCTTGTCGTACTCGCTGTACTTGCTAATGAACTGCCACCCCATAAACATATGCCACTGGCTTGCTTAGAAGTAGAGATGGAGATCGGCTGGCTAATTTGCTGTGCTGGGTTCGCCCCAGAGGAATCGTTTGGCTTTTGGACCAGAAATATCCATCCAGGGTCATTGTAGGCCTGGAGTCTATCCCAGGAAGCACAGAGCACTGGGCAGTGCTCCCAGTCCAGCATCCCAGTCCAGCATCCCAGTCCAGCACAAGGCATGAACACACACACAAAATCACACGCTATGGGCAATTAAGTTCAATCACGGAACCTTTTGCCACGTTTCCCAAAGCACTCAAATACACTGTTGTGAACTTGCAGCCTTTTTTTAGGGGATTTTTATAGTAATGCCCTATTCTATCCTCTCTGCCAAACAGTCCAGCTTCCCGGATTGACCAGGACATTGCTGACTCATAGACATCTTTGTCCGTTGCACAGCTGTAGCTGTATAGCTCTTTCCCACTAAGAAGTTGCTGTTGACCTCACAGTACTTCTATACCCGGAGCCTCTGCCTGCTATCTCAGCTTGGAGAGCCCCGCAGTAGCCACTCACAGGGTCACGATGCACCTCGATGGTAGGCGTGACCCAGTTAGGATATAGATTAGAGTTTTTCCTGGCTCGGTCATTGCATTACATTTACCATTTGCCCAAGTTGCCTGGAGCACCTCTACAGTAAATGTGCAGGTTATGAAGATCAGAAGCACTTCCGCCTCATCACTCTTTCAAACACTGTGTAAAATGATTTTTGAAACTCTGAAACAGGGCGTTTTTTATTTAAGGCATCACATGGAGGTTGATTTGGATGAATTTAAACAACAAAACACAGTCCCCTCCTAAACAGCTTTCCTTGGTCACTGATAAAACTATCAAAAGTTATAGAGCAGATCGGGTAGTAGGCCTAAATATTGAATTTGACATTTGGTATGAGGCTGACAGATCACGCTGACTGTGATCTGCACTCTCATAAAATGGTACATGAAAGTGATAATTAACAAAATAAAACGTACCATTTGGTGTAGAGACCCGGCACACTACAGACGAAAAACAACCTGTGAAATGGAATTTCAGTAGAACTCCCTATTAATAATGGAAAGGCTTCTCTCCAAAGTTTCGCCGTATCCTGTCAGCTCAGAGGACATGCCGTTATTTTCTTTGTTCTGCTACTGAGGAAAAAGTCTACTTTGTGGCTGTTCTGCCACCTCCCCAAAAAAAACTCCACATGGATACTTATCTTTTCAGCAGGCTAATAATGGTATAAAATTTGTAGATGGATGGGCAGGTGCTATGAATCAGAGGACCTATTTATTGATTGGGTGTTTTTTCTTTTTTACTCTTGTGTCACTGACGGAACCTGCTCCAAATTGCTTGCGGGGTCTTTGTGGCTGCTGCAGCAATCTGACCACCGTACTTTGAAGCGTGTAATTATTAAGTGAACCAAATGCACCTTGCCAAAAGAATCTTTTTTTTTTTGGACTATTGAAGATCCTAGACTCTGTCAGAACACTCAAGACCATTCGACGGGGGAATCGTATTCATTCTAAAATATCAAAAATTTCTTCTTCCTTTTAAATAACAGTTCACATTACAAAGATGAGAAAGCACCAAAATGTCACCCCTGCATTGTAATTGAGTTCTCATCCAGCAAACTCCTCCATTTAGTATTCCTGAACAAATACCCCCAATAAATCTTCATAGACCATGTCAATGTCAGTGTTTTTGGTCCATATTATCAGTGAAATCACAATAGCTCATTTTACTTTTTAAATTATAAGAAGGAAAAATATTTTTCTTTTGAAGATGGGGGTGAAGTATTCTCATATGTGCTTGAAATGAATCAACAGGTCTTGAACATTGTATTCTATGTATTACATGAAATATTTCGACACACATTGTCATAGTGCCCTGCGAATAATCCGAACAAAATTATAAAACAATCATCAAAAAAAAGCAAGTAAAAGTAGAGTAATAATAATAATAATAAGTATTATTATTATTATTATAGAAATATGCATTTTTAATATATCACTGTTTAATTTTGTGTGTGTGTATATATATATATTTATATATATATATAAATCTATATATATTTATATAAAAAATATAGAATTTCTCTTTTTTGGAGTGGATGTGTACAGGTCAGCTGCATATATTTTATGAACAAATTTCACTTTTTCTTAAAAACAGAGACTTTAAGTAGTTATTTTAATGGTGCCATTTACCAGTTGATTCCCTGCAAAGAAAGCCCATTACGTGAGAAAGTAATACGGGCTTTACAGTCAGTAAAGTAAGTTTGCCATTTACGTCCAGTGCTAAGTTGCGTGCTGCGTAAAATCGGCATCGGCTGAAGAGTCGCACATACGTCACGACTCTCTAAGTGCACTGATCGTTTTATGCTTATTACTGAAAGCATGGTGCCCAATTATTAAGAAGAAGAACAATAGGAGATAAAGGATAGAATGGCAATGCTGAATGTTTGTGTGTCTATAACGTGATGAACCATGAAGCTGTTTAAACATTCAGTGTGTCTGCCATGCCTTATCCCGTCTCTGTAACCCCGAGGGTGGGGGGGGCGGGGGGGGATTATGCCTTCAGACTGGCGGTATCCTAATGGGGGGGTTTACAGCAGGAGCAGCAGTTTGCCGCATCATTACATTTGCCTGAGGTGTACGCCAGTTAAGTTCTCTGCACAGGCCAGATAAGGCAGGTCATGTTTGCATACATCATTTGGCACACACCCCCTCCCCCCCCCCAAAAAAAAGCTCAGGCTGGCTGAGAGTCTTTTGTGGATTGTGGTAAAATTAATTTGAGCGTGTGCGAGAGTGAGCGAGCGAGGGAGAGAGAGAGAGCATTGCTGGATCAGGCTGACTTTCGAGGTGTCGAGGGCACATCTTGACACCTTTGCAGGGAGACATCCCGATAAGATTGCGATCAGCATGCGACCCGCAGGGGAGACTCACGGCTGTGAAGCTAAACAGCCGTATCAGTGGCGCCGGTGATATGACGATTAAAGCCGGCAGATAGACGATACCAGTCTACATGTTGACTTCTCGTGGCAGGTCCAGCCCAGTACTAAATCAAGCTTAAACCAGTATGAGAAAAGACTGTTATATTTCCATCCATCAGTCTTCCATCCATTACCCTGTACAGGGTCGCGGTGGGCCTGGAGCCTATCCCAGAATCCACTGGGCACTACTAAGTTATATAACTGTTTTTTTTAAATCCCCAAAGAGTCAAAATATAGCTGTAAAAATGAGGGAAAACCCAGATTTACCTGACATGATTACATCAGCACATGAAAAGTTAGGGTTATGTTAACACAAGTTGTCATTTGCATAAAGAAATCAAGTCATATGTCAGCAGTTTTTGTACTCTGATGTCACACAATCAAGATGGATAGGTATCGCCAAACTGAATTTGTTTTCCATATTCAACTTTTGTACTTCTTCAAAGGATGACTAACATTGTGATCTCTTGGTAAATTATAGTAATTATATTATAATTATATTATAATAATACTCAAAGAGGAAAAGATCTTGAGTGTTACTGAAGTGTTGGAGGTTTAACCCCCACCTCGGTGTATGTACCAGTGTATTTGTGCATTTATTCTGGGTCCTCTGGTTTCTTACCACAGTCTGACAACATGCAACAGTGAAGTGGCTCTAAAGTGCCCAAAGTGTGTGTGTGTGTGTGTGTGTGTGTGCATGTGTTTGCGTGTGTGCATCTATGTGTGCATGTGCATGTGTTTGCGTGAGTGTGTGTATGTGTGCATGTATGTGCAAATGTGTGTGTGTGCATATGTGTGTGTGCATGTGTGTGTGTGTGTGTGTGTGTGCGTGTGTGTGCATCTATGTGTGCACGTGCGTGTGTATGCGTGAGTGCATGTATGTGGGTGTATGTGCGTATGTGTGTGTGTGTATGTGTGTGTGTGTCTCTGAGTGCCCCCTCCACTGCAGTGCCCCCCCCCCCCTGTTCCCAGGGCTGTATGCGGTACGCTCCCAGCTTCCCTTGACACTGCACTTGATAAGCTGTTGGAGGAAGGATGGATGTTCAGCCTTTGCTAAATAAAACAAAAAATACAACCATAATCACTGGCCGGTACTGCAGGTCTGAGCAAAGATTGTTTATGTGTTTCCTCATTCTGACTGTTTGATTTGTTATGGAAATTACAAGAAAATTAATTTTATCCTTTTTCATAATATCATGATGCATCATGATTGGAAGGAAATTCTTCAATATTGTCTGAAAATTACAAATGAGCCACCTCAGTTTTTTGGTGCTGTGAAAATCATGCTTGTGAGTCTTTTTTTTTGCTGGCGAGATGTGATTGTGAGTGATGGTGAGGCATTTTAGAGTGTTAAATGCAACTGGTGTAATGGAGTATGACTAAGATACAGGGAGTGACCTAGGATACTGTCAGCATGACCAAGTGGGAGTCGCACTGTCCTAGACCCTGGGCATGTGATAAGTTTTGGTCATGTAGTCAGCAGTGTGTTAATTAAAACATCCAAAGAATTAAAGGGATTGCTGCCCCTCCCCCACCCCAACTGCTGTTTTCCCAGCAGAGATATATCTACTGTGTGCTATGTTGCCAACATTTTAAATTGAGGATGTCCTTTCCATTCAAGGCTCCATGACAAGACTCCATTGCACAAAATCCCACAGAGGTACTTCATAGCCTGTATCAAAGAGGGACAAAACAATTGACAATGGCTGTAACAAGAGTCAGTAAAATCCATTTTCTCACCCGTTTTGTGTTGTGGATTTGCAAGTCACAATGGTTAACATGTTTAAGCTGTGCTAAAATGTATTAGGCAAAAATCCAGTGGTACGTCCAGAGTCCATGGTTTGTGTGGCACTTTCTATCCATCCATCCATCCATACACCCACTTAATCTGTTCAGGGATGCAGGGAACCAGAAGCCCTTTCCAGGCAGCAGAGAGTACAAGGTTAGCATATGCCCTGGATGGGATACTAGTGTGTTACAGAGCACACACGCACACGCACATGTAGGGTAAACATATCCTTATGGGGACCACTCATTCATTTCAATGGGAAAAATGCTAACGCTAACTATGACAACCTTAACCCCTACCCTGCCCTAACCATAACCATAAGTAACCTAACAAAATACAAGAGTTTTTGCATTTTTAGTTTTTTCATAGCAGTCACCTATTTTTGTAAAACAGATATTTATCACGTTATGGGGACATTATGTCCCCATAAGGTCCCCATAAGGATAGGTAAACCCGCTTGCATACACACACACACACACACAGGCAATTTAAATACCTAAATGTGTGTCATTGGACTTCGGGAGGAAACACGCAACATGGGCAGAACATGCAAACTCCAAACTCACAGAACAGCAGTTGGATTCACAATGCTACCCACTGGAGTTAACATTTATTTTAGCTCTATGAAATATAGATGTATAATTAAATATGTTTAACTGGAGGTAGATACAGGGGTGGGGCCACAGGGGCCCTGGCTCCAGCTGATTGGCCCCCCAGTGCCCTCTCCCCATCACTCACTGATTCAAAACATAACATTGGCTAATGATAGGGTTGGCCCCTCTGTATGAATTATGGCTCCTCTTATGCCCCCTACCTTAAAAAAAATCCTAGAATCACCCCTGTGTTCTATTCTGTGTCGTTTATATAATATTGGATTTACCGTTGGATGGAGTGCTAATTAAGCAGCGTTCTTCCCAGATCCTGAGGACGCGCCAGGCAGCACAGAGGTCCAAAGAGACCACGCTTCTGAGGCAGCACCGACAAGCCTGGAGCCGAGAGCACGGCAGATTAGCCCGGGCCCGGTGAGACAGAGCGGGCACTCACCCCCTGCCCAGAATGAAAGCAATCGGCTGGCATGGCGTAGCTCATGGAGTCACTGAAGAAACAGCTGACAAGAGAACTAACTGGATGCCTTGGGGGGGGGAATTCACTCACATGACTCCAAGATGCTCAAACAACAGGATTGTTCTTGAAAGCTTATCAGTGCGTCAGTACTTGCGCCACACTGTAGTCTCAGGGATTGTGCTGTTTCCCAACATTTTCAGATGGTTCCATGTTAATTTGGTTACGTCCGAAGGGCAAACATTGCGTTTACATAACGCCGGAGACCTTTCCATCAAATAATCCCTACAGGTGCTCAGTGCTCCACTTAAACAGCCATTACTGGCCAATCTGGAGCTTTAGCAAGTAATTGAATTTTAAAAATAGTTCTTAAACAAAGAAGTAACTGAATTATCTCCTTAGTGTTTCTATAGTTACAGTCGTGTAGATTTTTTATGGAATACACCCGTTGAAATTGGCTGGAAAATTGTCACCGAGGTGTCTTGTAGACGTGAACCCTAATTCATTCTTGAAACTCTTTCTTTTTGTTACTCCAGGGGTAAAGCAGAGTCAGAGCTTCAAGAATTCTTGGGGCAAGGAGGGGCAGATATGGAATTCTTGTCCCAGTTCCTGGAGTATGGTATGTCTCCTTCCTCAGCATCCACCTGCTCCTGTTGCCTTGCCCTTGTGGTGCCGTGCTGAGGGCCATATCTCGGACAGAGGGGCTCCTGGAGAGGGAGCGAGCAGCGTTTCTGACAGCCACAGTGGAGCCCATTTGGCAGCTGAGGGACGACCTACGTTTCCGACTGACCGAGGAGAGGCGAGGTCCTTCTCAACCGTGTGAACCAGACCTGATCCTGCAGCAGGTGAGAACATGTATTTGAGAGGTCATCCTTTGTTCTACCATTACAGTAAACATGATGTTCTAGGTATTAAATTACATGATATTTTTTTAAAAGGCCCTTATCCAAAGTGACATACATCTCTGAGAGCCTTGCTCAGAGACCAAATGGTGAATGGTGGGGCTGAGATTGTTGACTGGGGAAGGGTGGGGTTCTTGGTAAATTTTTGTAATTTTCGTATGATTGTGTTGATAAAACTTGATAAAATTTGTGAGCTGGAGGGGGATCCCTCGGAAACTAACTAACTAAATAAATATAGCCTAGCTCTTCCCTCCTTCTCATTAATGAAGGGCTTCTTCCTGGCTTTATGGGACTTCAGTTCTGCTTCTAAGAGCCTGATATGAACTGTCCTAGCAGTGCACTTCACACCTGCACTTAATGTTTCCCATTCCTTTTGAAGGTCACTTGATGTCGTCCTACGATTCACGAGAAACTGTCAGATAAGTGAACGGTCATCTCTGCCATTAGAAAGTCACTTCCACTCTCTACCTGGCTGGTTTTTGGTCATTCCCAGTGTCTCCTGCTTCGCCTTGTTCTTGTGTACTGCTGGCTTAGAAACTCTGAGCCTGGAAGCAGCCTGCATGACGCTTAGTGTAGCCTCTGCCAGCAGAACCAGGATTAAACCAGGATTTAAAAAACGCAGATTTGTTTAAAAATATGTATGGAGTGGTCCTTAATTTTTCCGTGGCTGTAACTCAAATCCAAGGACTCGAAATCTCATATGGGTACTACCATTGCCAGTAGGCGATCTTGCCATGGTTTTCTTTAAATTGTTGTATTATAGTCTATAGCTATATATGTGGAAAAAGTTTGCAATACTGTACTTTTTGGTATCCAGGTCAAGTCAGTTGCTTATTGAAGTTATTAGTCTGTTTAACATCAGGATATGAATATTAAAAGAGAAATATGAATACAGCGAGGCAGTTCTGAAATGAAAAGTGAGAGTATTGCATGTTGAGACTCAGGAGGCATACAGTAGCTAATCTGTTTTTCATGGTTCTGCAGTTTGGCAGGCGGTGGTGAAAAGTTTAATTAAGGCCCTTTTGTGGCCGACTCCTCTCGACACTCGATTTTTTTTTATTCTATTAAGTGGGAGAGAACGACGGAGCTGATGAATGATGGAAGATGCGGCTCGTCGCTCTCAAGCGGGTTAGCCTCGGCTGGCCCCGCCCACTCCGGGTCTTTCCTCGGATCCGTTCGGGATCCTTCGACCTCACTGCGGGACGGTGTAAAAAGCCCCGCGGCTGCTTATGCGCACACAGCTGAAGAGTAAATCAATATCGGCGCTGCTCGCTTTTACACCCGCCGGGGAGGTGGGGAGCGGGCCGCGCACTCGCTCTGTGTTAGCGCGCCATGAGGAATGGGAAAACCACGGATCGGTAATTGCTCGTTTTAGCCGGGCTCTTTGGTGCTTAAAAATCAGCCCCTTCAATGGTCAAACCGTGCGAAAAAATGGAACGGTATTAACCAGCTCGGTCCTCTACTCAGCCTTGGAGGCTCATTTTAAAAAATGTCTCTTGTTGTTATTTTCTGAGCGGTAACAGCTAGAGGTAACAGATATATATCAAGAGCTTTCAAAGTGCCTTTTAATGATCGGTCATTGTGCTTTAAGAGCTGCAGAAAAAAATAGGTATTACTGCTCTATAAATTATATAACGTACATAAAAAATGATAAATGTTGCGTTTATTGTGATTCAGAAGTTAGCGCTGCATGTAAATGTGTCATGTTGCTCAGACACCAAGTAAATGAAAATCTTCACCCATCCATCTTCCTTGCCTGGTTAGCCAGTACAGCGTTGCTGTGAGCCTATCCCAGGAGTGTAGGACAGGAGACAGAGGACACCTTGAAAGAGACACCAGTCCAGTGCAGCACACGTACACCATCATACTCTATGGATGATTTAGAGACAAAGTCCACACACATGATTTAGAGTCAAATCCACAGCCCTATAGGTGTGAGGCCACAGCTCTACATACTGATGCACCATGTCACTGTTACTGCCATTAATGCTTCATTAAAATGTCATCCTTTTCTTGTGATATATATGAATCAGTTCCTGAACTTCTGGGTCAGCCCCCAAAAAGTGTCCGTTTTCAGTTGGTTGTGTAGTGCGCAGTTTAAAAAATGAAACACCTTTCATTCCCCTTCCCCGACCTACAACTTCTACCATGAATTTGAAACTTTACCTACTGACTAGGGAAAATTCTGGATCCTCAGGCTTAACCAGTTGAGAACCCCAATGATAAGTGTTTGAGATAAATACCCTGCTCTGGCACTCACGTACACAGCACTCAGATTCAAACCCCGGCATGCATGGAAATTACTGACATCTGGGCTACCCCAGTGTCTCTTTGACATTTAGCCTGAGAAATATTACATTTAACAGGAAATATCAGTTTGCGGAGTATCTGCTTCATGTTATTGGCGCCATACATCCCTGAACCTTGAGATCTTTCCCCGTTAATATTCATATGTATGCTTTATATGTTTAAGTATATTTTATTTAGGCATGTACGTATATCTTACCTTGTTAGCTACTCATTTTTTTTTTCTTTAATATCTTTATTATCTATGCTAGTATGTATATTTTATATGCTTGTCTACTGTGCTATTGTTTCTGCAACATCTGAAAGAGTAAACAAACTGAGAATTTCATCGCGTACTGCACATATGACAATAAATAGCTTGAATCTTAAATATCAGTGGTGGATAGACAGGCCTACCGTTAAGACTGAGATCTCTATTCACATTGTGTCCGTATTTACATTACCGCCATGTAGTAAACCTCGTGTGAAGGGAACCAGAATGTGGTGCAGCAGTCTCGGAGCTGTCAGCGTAGGGCGATGTTTCACTGAACATTCCGCTAACTAGTGCAAGTGCAGTGACGGTAAAGACAGCAAATTTTCGTTACAGTGCTTAAAGTTAAAGTGCTTGTCCCCACATGACTTTATCTGAATGAGTCCTACCTCCATGACATAAAACAATGAGTGTGAGTATTTGTGTTTATGGATAAGGGGGAACTCAGCCTTGTCATCATGCGTGAATCACTGTAAATACAGTGACAGTCTGCTGAGAACACATCAACCTGCTGGGCTGATTCTTCTGCGATAAGCAGCTTACGTCTGTTAGTTGTTCACCCATGTATACCTTCACTGATGTGTCGTAGATTAGTTACAGTAGGATCCCTTGTGGGATTCAAACTTCGCCAGCTGATGAACCCATGAAAGTGAACTTGACCTGCTGTTGAGTGCTGAATAACTGCCCCCCCAGCCCAGATCTGTTTACTTTTCCTCTTTTCACTCAGGTGCAGTCTGTCAAGGGACAGCAGGCAGAGATTGAGAAAAAGCTGCGTACTGAATACCTACGATTGGAGCGAGAAATGTCTGCTATGCAGACAGAGGTAGGGGTTGAATGCTCTATGTCAATGATGGCTCTGCCCTCCTGCTCCCTCAACACAGCAGATGGTCTGCTAATAGCACAGTGCTGCTCCTGCAGGAATGTTTGTCTCCCATCCAAGAGGACCCCGGCCACATGGGGCACGTCCCGACAGAGATCCTGCACTCGGAGTGCCCCTACCCCGATTTGAAAGCGTCCCTTATCCGTGAGTTCCAGGGCTTGTCTGAAAAATACAGGTCCAGACTGGAGACCATCAAGCTCAACCTGCAAGATCTGGACAGGTAGGGCGTTCGTCACGTGGTCCTCAGGATCAACAGCCGTCCAGTCTTGTTTTCAAAAGTTGTTGGATTGAACAAGAAGCGTTAATTTGGAAGGTAAAAAAAGTCAGGGTGCAGGAATGAGCATGGAATCAGTAAATCATCCTTAGTGACGTCTGTGCCCAGGGTGGCTGCCTCTGTACCAGCTTATGCCAAACACACGGGCGTGCTTTAATCTAGCAGCTACCTTGGTAGCCTGGTCTCCTGGTTCTTATCTTATTTCTTACTTCTGCCATTGCTCCAAATCTTGCCGTTCAGATTTCTCTGCTGGCAGGTATGCACTGTTAGGTACCCAGTCTTAACTAATATCGTGATTAATCCTTTGAGTTCTGCAGGGCAGGAGACCTGAAAATATGAAAATATGAATCTGCACGGTGTTGCCCTCTTATCTTCTCTATTGCAGGTGCTGTGGGTGGACTCCAGAAGATCACCTGGCGTTTGAGGTCACCGTGAGCCAGTACCCAGCTAGCGTGTGCCTGCACAGAGCCCTCTACATGGACATGCTGCAGAGGCTTCTTCCCCATAAAGCTAGACAGGAGCTGGTCAGTGCCTCCACTGTCTCTTATTGGTCTATACCTCCGCCGCCTCTCATTGGTCAATTTCCCTGCTGTCTCTCATTGGTCAGTACCCCTGCTGCCTCTCTTTGGTCAATATCCCTGCTGTCTCTCATTGGTCAGCAGCTCTGCGGTCTCTTTAATTGATCAGTTTGTTGTTTAGCTGTCAGTCAATGTTACTTCTGTAAGCTATGGCTCCTTATATCAAATTCCGAGGTAATGACACATAACATTTAATGTCCTGACCTTGAAGATTAATGTACTGCAATATTATTGTAAAACATAAGTGCAAGAACAGCTGAGAAAGGTTGATTTGGTCATAAAAATCAGGTAATCCCTGGGGGTTCCGTTAAAATATGGCTCATGTGTGGTTGCCAGATGTTAGAATGGAAATTTCATTTAGGCTAAGAGGACAGTAACATTGTTCGGCATATTTGACTTTCAAAGTGTTGGAAATGCTTGTGGCCATTGTCCCTGATCCCCCCTCCCTCCCACACAGTCAGCCCACCGTCAGACACGCTGACGTGTGACAGCCGTGACATACCGGGGGGAGCACGCCACGCTCTTGTCCCAGCAGCCCCAGTGAATGACACGCTCGACAGGCCATAGGATGTGCTCTGTCAGCCTCTGTAACCCCCCCCCCCCCATACCCACCATGGGTCCCCTGTCGCCATGACGACCGCCGAGGTATGACTCTCTGACAGTGCTTGTTCCAGCTGGGGGGGTCTGGGGGCGTTGTTTTCATGAACCCCTCCCCCTCCTCTCATACCTGTTCTATTTTAAGTGAAATTCTAAATAGCACAATAGCTAAAGCCCTGAAGGTGGTCTCACACACCTTGTGCGTGTTATTTTCTGGCCGTGAACAGGGACACTAGTGTTCAGTTAGTGCTCAGGTGATGCCAGCTTAGGGCCATTTCACTTCAGTTCCACCCCTACTTCCTCACCTATTAAAGGTTTTGTTCACAAAGTGAAATGCAGGGTATAGAGATAGATTGCATTCATTCATATTCCTAAGGAGTGAAGTACTCGCAAAGCTGATTTTATTTCAGCAGGGAGGCAAACAAGCAGAGTCGTGGTCAGGAAGGCGGGCAGAGTGAGAGCCGGAGAGGAGGGAACACAGCAGCCAGAGTCGGAGTCGGGGCCCAGAGTCGGAGTCGGGGAGGTCAGGTCATTGAGTCAGAGGGGGCAAATGAGGAGATCACGAGAAGGACGAGGGAGGAGAGGGACGACTGGAAGGGGCTTGGGCCAGAGGAGCGGGAAGGTCAGGCAGGGTGGAGCGGACCTGGGAGAGAGACGGTGGTTTCATGCTTAGCAGGTCGCATGGAGTACTCGACAATACCTTGTACTGAGCTTGGGTTTGGGCCAGGCTTGAGTCTACTGCGGTTGATTAGGACTGATTGGAAGTGGCTGTGTCGGCCCAAGGACAGGAGGGCATGACAGTACTTATATATTTCTATTTATGTTCTACATATCGGTCAAATGATCATCATAGAAATGCAAGAAAGTTACACCATTTCTGAATCCAAATAATTAAGCATCCATCTTTATTAGCTAATTACAAAAGTGAGTCATAATATTTCATATCCCCTCCATTTTAATGTTTGCCAGCCTAATTTAGAGTCACTGTCGTTATATATTGTTAAATCTATTTTATTTCTTTGCAGCAATATTCATAAAACAGTGATTTTTTTATGTGTGTGTCCATGTTTTTAGATAAATAAATTCATGCGTCTTTTCTATTTTGCATGCATAGCTTTGGATCTGCTATGTTCAAGCATTAGTCCATCATTAGCATGTGAACCCCAGTGACCGCAATTACGTCGATGGTCAGCGATTTGTCGTTCGCCGTCCTCTGTTCCGAATGCACACAGCGTTCATCTTCCATCTCGAAATTCCCTGTGCAAAATGGCTGCTCTGGGGATGTTCTGTCTTACGTAACTGACCCCGAGCCATCTGCCGTGAAGCCGCAGTCAATGGTCTCACTAAACCGTCGTAACGTTTCCACTTCACTTAATCACCCTTGACTGAGTCTGCGATAACTTTGCTCTGCTATTGACTTTTAGCCTGCATGTCTTCCTTGTTTTTCCAGATCCGTATCATTCTGTTGGTCGGCAGAGGACCACAGAAATGAACATTGATTTAATGGCACAATACACAGCTTTGGGCTTCTCCCCAGGCCGGTTACCTGAATGTTTTGTGCTGCTTTGAAATTTCCTGTCGTTTCTTCTCCATAAATAAATGCACACCTTCTGAAGAAAGCCACTTTTTTAAACAAAGCTCCACTCGTGGGAGTTTTACTTACACAAAAATGTTCTGAGGGCAGAAGGAAAAAGGTTTGGTTCAGAGAGATAATCAGACTGTAGAGGAGGTGGATCCAAGCAACTAGAGGAGACTGGACCAAGACATCTGATTGGTTGACATCACCTACTCTGGCTGCTTGCACCCAACTCCACTACATTCTTATTGGTCATCTCTCTAAACCAATTATTTTTCCTTCTGCCCTCAGAACATTTTTGTGTAAGTAAAATTCCCATGAACGAAAGCTTCTGTCATATTGCCACTTTGACATTTTCTGGTCTTTAATCATTAAAAGCTTTGACGTCTAAAACTGTTCACTTCTAAAAATTCCTTCTAAAAATTGCCTCCCTTGTTCAGTAGTTGGAGTGGCATATTTTTTTCTTGTTTTTCACAGCAATATAGAAAAGAAGCAATGTGAAGCTGCACAGACATATTAAGATTTTTCAAAGACAGTTATTTTGATTAAAAGGTGTGTCTTTTTGGCCTCTGCAGCATTTTCATTGCAACTTTTCAGCATTACAGCAGATTCATTAACGTTCAGCCACAACCTGTATCACCAAACACTTGATATAATAAAAATGATATGACTGATGTGGGCAAATAGAGTGTTACATAGTGTATTTGCTTCCACAAACTATCAACGCTGGTTATGTAATGTTTACCTGGTGATGGAGGCTTGGGAGTTAGTGCTGCAGAGTGGGCATTAATACTGCCATCTGGTGGTGAATGGTATGACAGCACAGCCACAGTACCATCGTTAACATTGCCATGTATATTTACATATATTTTCCATGCATCAAACTGCACAGTGTCTAGCCCATGAGTCTCTTAGGACACTTGCCTGGTCTGCATGGCTTTGCTAACACGCCATGTTTTCTGTAGTTACGACTGAGTGATATTTTTTACACGCACAGCTAATATCGCTGTGCAAGGCTCGCTGCTGATTTTGTCCTCACGTCAATATAATTTTTTGATGCGCTCCATAAATCACAGCCAGACATTGTCGCTTCACTAATCACAACCAGACACTGCCGCTTCACCAATCACAGCCAGACACTGTCACTCTGCCAATCACAGCCAGATACTGTCTCTATACCAATAACAGCCAGACACTGTCATTCCACCACCCACAGCCAGACACTATTACCTCACCAATCGCAGCTGGACCCTGTTGCTCCATCAATAACAGCCAGACACTCTCGCCCCATGACATTCAGCCATATTTGATGGTTACCCGCCCTTGTGATTCACTCTGAGGGCCTCTAGCCACTGGAAGCCTCTGTCATCTCACTTTGCACATCTTCCATTGGCTTCGGCCTGTCACCTGGTCCACGTGTCTCCCAAACATAAACCCAGCATTGCATCATGGCCAGACAGCGCTGGGTTGTCTAACCGCAAAGTGCTTCTGTGGATTTACAGCATATTTTCATAATAAACAACAGCAGTCATCCATTTATTCTTCCTCCTGTGAGGTGCAGGACCACCATGAGTCTGGAGCCTATCCCAGGAAGCAGAGGACCCCTAGGATGGGATGCCAGTTTGTGCTCTCACTTTACTCAGTATTATTTTTTTTTTGTTTTACGGAGAATTTGGACAATATCATCCATGGTGTCCTCTGCCTCATGCCCTCTGCTTTCTGTGATGGGCTTAAACTAAAAATCTAGTAAACTGTGATCTATAAGCCTTCAACCTGTTAGGCTTGTGCGTGTCAGTCCAGCTCTGCTCTTTGTGGTCTGCCGGTTTTGTGGAATGTCAACGGAAACACCAGCTCGCAACATCAATTTTACAGGGTGGAGAACCATATGTGAGAGGGATGGGACATGGAGCGATATGTTTATTAGGGACAGGCTTTAAAGAGGTTCACAGAGTGAAATGCAAACAGCAATAAGAACATAAGAAATGTACAAATGAGAGGAGGCCATTCAGCCTTAACTAATCTTATCTAGCTCTGATTTAAAGGAACCCAGGGTTTGTGCTTCACTAACAGGAAGTGATGTTTTGTTGAGGGGAAAAAAACAAATGATTGAATTTGAGCACGAGTGATTGGATAGGTGTAGAAAAGAGCAGAAAACATCAGCATGTACAGTGACAGATGGCTGAGCCATAAATAGGCTGAATTATCATGGACTGTCACTGGACTCCTGACATGTCCAGAACCACCAACCTGAGAGACATTGTGTATCAATTTGTTACGTTGCTGTTCGGCCTCTCCTTCTGTGCTGCAGCATGAACATGAGCGTTGCTGGGACCAGTACCGCTACACCCTGGAGCAGCGGCAGACGCTGATCCGCAGCTGGCGGCGGGATTGGGCTGCCCTGCTGGACGAGGCTCTGTCGACCCTACAGGAGGCCCGGCTGGCCCATTTGCGGGAGCTTGCTGAGTGGAGCGACCGGGAGCAGCAGCAGGACACCTGTGCCCGTCTCAGACAGAAGGTAACTCCCTGGGAGCAGCATCTCCCCAGACGTCGTCTGTATTCCTCTTCTAGTCAATTCCAGGTCAGATTTGAATGTTCAACACATTTCCTGTATGTCGCGGGTGAAAATGGCCGGCTGCTCTGATGTATAACTGGCAGCTACTTATCTAACTGAGGAGAGGTAAAGCTCTGCTGCACAATCTGGCCTCTCAGGCCAGATATTCCTCCATGATGCTCTAAGCTTCTGCAGAAACCTGTCCTGGGATTCAAACCAACATCCTTCAACCCACGAACTAAACTACACTAATTTGTCCTGCCTAAACTTGTACAACTGCATGTAATTGACCATGTTATTAGTTCCCATTGGGTTAAAGCAGGCAGCGATTCTCACGATATGGTAATTCTACACATTAAGGGTTTCAAAGCCTCATTTCCCTAATAACTACCCTTTAGACTCTTTGGGACTGGGGAGGTTGGTCATTGAGTGATTGCAGTGACGATAATGAGACAGTGTAGGCAGGTGGGACACTGATCCAAGAGATGTTATCTGGATTTGAGCAGAAATTGGGTGGCTTCACTTGGATGGGGACAATTTTCCTCCTCCATGTCCAGGCCAGCTTGGATGCCATGGATGGTTCCATCTCACAGCGCTGTGAAAAAGAGTTGCATACTCAGAACCGACGTCTTGCGTGTCTAGGATTAGCTCTGAGTCACAATGCTGAAGTCGGGCCACCTTTGCCTGGTCATTCTCCAACAAGCACGTAAATGTGTAAAACAATACAGCCTCGTCTGTCAACACTGAAATATTGACTGCAGAAGAATCTACCCCGGAGCTCACCTTAGACTCAGAACTTGTTTTACCTGTTTACTTGGCTCACTTTTCTCAAAATAGTCAATGATCTATCTTATTGACGATAATGAGAAATAAACAGAGCCACCACATTTTTGGATTTGTTTTCATCAGCGCAGTAGAACTGTCTGAGCATGTTATGTGTCAGACGTACTTTATTGTGTATGCCCATTGTGCTACCCTATTGTTTACTGTAATTACCACTTATCCTGCCCCGACTACCCTCATGTGTTGCACCTGTTTTACCCTTCATATGTAAGGGCCGAGGCTCTGGCTGGGGACTCGAGCATTTGTCATGTTTGTTGGTGTAGAAGCTGCCGTGTTTGTGATTGCTGGTGTTGTTGTTACTGCCAGCAGTGTCTGTGTCCTCCTGGTTCCCTCAACTGTCTTAGCCTACCTCGTGCATCCCTCAGTAAACCCTCTTCTACTCATACTTGCATCCTGCTCTACTTTCACCTGTTTTTAGTCAGCAAATATTCATGTAGGATCATAATGATCTGGAGCCATTCCCAGGATGGTAGGAAACCCCCCTCAACAGGTCACCAGCCAATTAAACACACAACAATAGAGAATGATCAGTCCAATGTCTCACACAAGCACACGGAAGACCTGCAAATCCCATTAACACTGTTCTGAGGTCAGATTCATTCATTCATCATTCATCTAGGCCACAATAACTGTGTTCTATGGACTGAATTCACACACGGATGCTAGCAAAATCTAACTTTTTAGTTGAGGTACAGTTCTTTTCTCACTGCAAGTTTGACCTCAGACTTGGGATCCTTCGCACAGTTCTGGAGTTGCCATCTGAAAAGTGGCTGTCTGCTTTCATACTTCTCTTTTAGGTTGGTCATCCCAGCATGAGGGACAGATATCATGTCCTAGCCTTTGTACAGTGTGACAGATACAGACCACCTTCAGCAAGTACCATTAAACTCTTGGTGCAAGGCCCCACTAGAGTAAATTGATGTATTTTATGAGTGGAGGACTCCTGAGGGTAAATGCTTCTTTTATTTGTACTGATGACCATGCTTAGACAGTTGTTTATCGGTACTGTTAGGCCTGCATTGAGACCACTAAGGTGACAGGCTAGGCTGTCTAGCAGAAGCTGGTGGACTGGACATGAGGTGGTGTATCAGTTAAGGACATGGCCTTTGCCTGTTGAGTCCCATTGAATTCCTGGGTGTTTCTCAATATGCGTACTTGACCGTACTCATGTTCTTGTGTACCCGTTTTATGTCATCTTTCATTCCCGAATACCGGCTCTAATACAACCTAAATATGGAGGATGGTAAAAATCCCCAAATGTCATTCTTGCCCCGTCCCAAATATCAAGGATACATCGGTTGCATTCTCGTCAAATGAGACAAATTCCCATGATTCATTGCGCCCCATGTTTGTTCTTGGGAGGCAAGTTAGCAAAACCGGTCTTGCCAAGACCACAAGTACCATCTTTATGTTCTTGGTATTGAGAAAACAACCCTTCTTTTATTGTGCTTGTTGCCGGTCAGCGTCTCTTCACTAATTCCTGTTGATCTTCTGGGTACTCCAGTTTCCTCCTGCAGCTAGTGGACTCGGTCATTCTACGTCGCCTGTTGTGTGTGTGAGGGTGAACTGGCACCCCATCCAGGGTGTTCCTCCAGACCCCAGGCGCTCTGCAGCCTCATACTGGTTAAGCAGTTGGAAGATGGATGGATAATGATATTGAAGTAATCCATCTCTGTAACCATTACATCGTTTCATGAAATATGACATCCTGATGTGTCTCTTAGGTCAGAAGCATCTGGGAGTCTGTCTGTGAGAGCTGGAACCTCACTGCAGAGGCCTCCGTCCTCCTCCGCCGCAATCGGTTCTTTAATTATATACACTATAAGTTGATTGGGTGTTTGAATAAGCCAGCTGAGGGCCGTTCCAGCCATGTCTATCCACGCTAAACGTTCCTGGCTTTGAAGCACGTCACTATGATTTTTTTTTTTTGTCAGCAAGCCATTTCTGCTTTGCTTTTTGTTTTTTAAATGAAACAGCAGGCTGAAATATCACCATGGTTACCTCGAACGAAAAGAACTCAGCCTCTCTCCTAAAGAAGCCGTTTTTACTTTGCCGTTGAGATTTCGACGACTCAATGTGCGATGGACTCGAGAGTGACTATTAAAAGTGGACATTGGGGAGGGAAGTAGATCACATTTTGGATGAGGGGGGGTGCTTTTCACAAATGACACACTAATGTGGCACTCCACAGGCAAGCAGAAAGTGAACTTTTTTAGAATGCTCCATCGTGGCATCGCGCACATGTCTTGTTCCAGGTTCTAGATCCCCCATGAGGTGCTATGCTGTAATGATGAGGTGAACAGTGGTGCTGAGATGCTGACAGCCACGAGAGGCACCTTTAGGGCTGGAGGGTACAGTATGGGGTCACACAAGTTCTCTTCCCTGCCAGCTATTGGATTAGCTGCCCATCTCAGCACAATAAACCTAATTCCCCATCCTCCCCTCTTGGAAAGGCAGCAGTGGGGCAAATCAGCTGTTCAATTGTAGGGAACTGAGCTCTACATGCAGTCACACATGTCACTGCACTGTGAGAGCTGAGGTGAGTCGGTTGGTGGGCGTTAACTCAGTGTGACACCACATCACACTCTGGTGTGGGAAGGCCACCTCCATGTCATTTTCCAGCAACTTCCAGAAAAGGTCTACATATTAGTTTGTTGGCTTGTCCTCTGAGCTCACACAATGACGGAAACTGGTCAAAGGTGCCTAAATGACCTCAGACAATAGAGCGATATAAGAGCAGAACAATGTCACATTACAGAGCAATGGCTTCTGGGAAATTTGACTTGTGAGCTGAAAAGGCAGCTTGTCTTTTGTCTGTCTGGTATTGAGTTAATGACTGCTATTATTTTCTGTTCTGGATTTTAAATACAGTAGACAATGTGCCTGTCAGACGAATGTAAGGATGATGGCAAAAGAATGCAAATGCTATCAAACTGTTTATTTCAGTTATTTATTTATTGTAGCACAATGATGTTTTTTTCATGGAGAGTGCATTGTGTCACATGGTGCGCTCTTTTATTGGAGTCCCATAAGGGTCTTTGTCTTTTAGAATCCCCCCCCCTCCCCACCCAGACAAAAATTGACAACGCATGCATGCAATCAGCCTCAGACACATTAAGAGCATTTCTCTTGCATCACTTTCTATTCCTTCAGCTACTCTGAAAAGTGGGAGGTCTTATCTCCGCAGTGGGGGCACGTTGCAGTTACATGCAACAGCGGGGACACTCAGGGAACCATACAGAAAAACACTATTTTGAATATTATTTCTTTGTATGACACTAGTTTGGGGGTGGCATGGTGGTGCAGTGGTTAGCACTGTTGCCTCGCACTTATGGGTCCCGGGTTCGAGTCTCTGTCATGGCTGCATGTGTGTGGAGGTTGCATGTTCTGCTCATGTCGTCATGGTGATTCCTTCAGGTATTCCAGTCCCAGTTTCTGCTCAAATCCAAACATGCTAATGTGAATTTGTGTTACCAAGTTGTCCATAAATGTCTGTGTGAATGTGCCCTGAGGTTGGTTGGCACCTCATGTGCCCTGCAGTGGGTTGGCACCTCATCTGGGCTGTTCCCTGCCTTGCATCCATAGGCTCCAGTGGTTACAGAAAATGGCTGGCTGGCTGGATGGATGGACACTGGTTTGCCATTCTGCTCTTAATATGTGATTACTGGTTGGAGATTGAAACCTCTTGAATCTTGAGTTGTACAAGCTGCTGGTGCATAGGTCATTCTGATCAATGCAGCCATCTTCCAGTTTCTGTGGGCATATCCCTGATCCCAACTATGACACCCTTAACTCTTACTCAGCCCAACCTTTAACCATAAGTAACCAAACAAAAAACACGACTTTCAGCATTTTTAGTTTTCTAATTACATTCGCAATATTTTTAAAATTGAGGTTATCCTTATGGGGACCCAAAATGTCCCCTCAAGGTAAAAATTTGCAGGACATTTGGTCCCCACAATGTAATATATACATGCCCCCCCTCCCACAGGCACACAGACAGACAGACATGTACACATGCTTGCATGCTGTCCCGGGTCCTGCTCACTTCCCATTTCAAAGTCGAGAAAAGGTGACCGCATTGTTTCCTCTGTACATCTGAGGTCTTAATGAGGAACATTGTTCAGATCCAGGCTGCTCTGGACATGGATGATGCCAAGTAACATCACAGAGGCTTTGTAAAATTTCCAAACGATGTTGGTGTTTATGTTCACAGACGAAACAGTGAAGTTGTGTACCTCCTGTGGTTAATCAGCAGCTAAAACCTTACCTGGAAATATACGGAGGATAGAGGAAGCCTTGGGTTGTCCTAATGTTACTTCCTGTTAGCACTTGTGTAAGTATAATAACGTTATATCTGAGGAGAGAGTTTTATGTAGCACTAATTAGATAACATTTTGGAATTTTTACGAAAAACAACCTGTTGCAATTTCCAGCATTTTCTCATTAACGCTGCGAAAGTGATTCTCATAACAGGTTTCATGCGACATAACAAGATAATTTCCCAACAACCAAAAGCAAGCGTGCTGGGTTTTTTTCTAAAAAGGACTTTGGCACTTTGTGCATAATGAGCTAATCTAAAAGCATGACATAGACTGTATAGCAAGGTCAGTGTATATTAAAAGTTATTTTGCTGGTCTTTCCCTTTGAAACTTTTTATCTTCTTTTCAAAGGTTGGAACTTTCATAAGAAGTGAAAATAGTAATTAACTTACCTTCAAACTTTTCTATAGGGTAGCCACTGGCTTTCCTTGCTTCAAATAAAGGAAGGGGGTAATACATCCAGCCGTCCATCAGTCCATCTTTTAAGCTCATGGGAGTTTTACTTATACAGTAATGTTCTGAGGGCAGAAGGAAAAATGATTGGATCAGAGAGATAATCAGATTGTAGAGGAGGTGGGTTCAAGCAACTAGAGTAGGCTGGACCAAGACATTTGATTGGTTGACACCACCTACTCTGGCTGATTGGACCCACCACCGCTAAAATCTTATTGGTCATCTCTCTAAACCAATTGTTTTTCCTTCGGCCCTCAGAACATTTTTGTGTAAGTAAAACTCCCACGAGCATCTTGCAACCCCTTATCCTAGTCAGGGTTTCAGAGGGTTATTCCAAACCATTCCCAGGGAGCATAGGGCACAAGCCTAGATAGGATGCCAGTCTGAACAAGATAATTTGTGTCTTTATGGTGTTGCTTTGAAAAGACACACCAAAATAATTTTCAACTGCTTTTATAATACATCAACAAGCGTCCATTTATCATGTACAGTACCAGTCAAAAGTTTGGACCCACCCACCCAAAAAATGGTTTGTTTGTACTATTTTCTACATTTTTAGAATAAATCTAAAGAAATCAAAAATTAAAATAACATATATGGATTATGTACTGACCAAAAAGGTATTAAACAAAAAACAATGTTGGGGAGTGGTGCAGCTCTGTGGGTTGGAAATCAGAAGGTTGCTGGTTTGAATCCCTGGGTCAGCAAAGTGATGCCATCATTGGGCCATTGAACTTAACCCCAATTCTACAAGACGTTGGCCATTCACATGTTCTGTCATCTGTAGATTGAGGACAAATGTGTGTGGGTGGGGCGAACAGGGAGGCGTGGCTAGCACACACTCTGAGGGGAGGGGCATATATGAGCTTCCCATATGGTACTGGGCAATCTAGATAGGCTTCTTAGCTATGTTTTTCAACTACTAGTCAGTTGCTCAGCAGAGAGATTTAGCCTACAGGCGGTGGTTCACCTTTCCGTTCATTTACTGAACTAGCTATTTAACAAATGCAATTGTCATTAAAAACCAATGTCATCTTGCCCCTCCTAGTGTTTGCATGGGCAGCCTTCCTACTTAGCATTCAAATGCAGGTCACCACACCGCCCCTCACACAGCCTGTGCGCTTCTAGTTGCTGCAGTGGCGGCTGCAGCAGGAGGAGGCCGGCCGCCTGGAGGAGGCAGCGGTGGCCAGGAGGCGCGAGGAAGAGCAGGAGAGGCTGAGGAGGGAGCAGGAGCAAGAGGACAAGCGGAGAACTTTCGAAAAAGAGAGGGTGAGACTCCCACGAGCGGCCAGACCCGTAGGGGCCATAATGGATACAGTAGGGCCAGCCTTATTATTTTCCAATGGTATGTTTTGCATCGGTGAGTGACAGGGGAGGGGGCACTCTGAAAGCCAATCAGCTTTCAGCTGAGGCCAGTGCCCCTGTAGCCCCGCCCCTGGTATCCGCCCCTGCAGTCCTGTCACAATACTCCTCATGTGTCAGGTAGACCCCAGGTCACCATCCATCCTCACAGATGGTGTGGGATCGAGCTGCCTTCCAGGGCACTTAATTAAGCTACTCCTGGGGGGAAGGCATGGCAGGCTGGGAGTGAAACAAAAAAACGAGCTGATTAATTATTGCTCGCGGGCAGAGACGGGTCACGAGCACCACAGTGTCACACAGAAACGTCTGGTGGTTTCTGGCCACGTCCACTGTACCCCGGATGTGATGTCTACCCATGAGGGGGCCTAGCGTAGCCCTGACCAGCTTTAATGAGATAGGCGCGTGTTAGCATGCACTCATTAGCACACCCCCATTAGCATATGCCTGTTAGCATGCACTCTTTAATATGTTCTTGTTAGCATGCACTCGTTAGCTCGGCCCCCTTAGCATGCCTGTTACCATGCACTCTTTAGTATGCTCTTGTTAGCATGCACTCATTAGCACACCCCCATTAGCATGTGCCTGCGCTCTTTAGCATGTTCTTGTTAGTATGCACTCATTAGCATGTCCCCATTAGCATGTGCCTGTTAGCATGCATTTTTTAGTGTGTTCTTGTTAAAATGCACTCATTAGCACACCCCCATTAGCATATGCCTGTTACCATGCACTCTTTAGTATGTTCTTGTTAGCATGCACTCATTAGCACACCCCCATTAGCATGTGCCTGCACTCTTTAGTATGTTCTTGTTAGCGTGCACTCATTAGCACAACCCCATTAGCATGTGCCTGGCCGCTCCATTTCAGATCAGGGAGTACCGCTTCGAGAAGCACAGGAGGAGAGAGGAGCTTCGGGAGATTGCGGAGCAGAGGCTGGCTGCGCTGAGGACGCTGATGACAGACCGGGCCAGGAGGGATAAGGAGAGGTAACTCAGCTAGGTGTGGGCCCCTGCTGAAGCAAAACCACATTCATTTCTATTTGATCGGCTGTATGGCTCCCCCAGGGTTTCTGCTCTGAAGGAAATGATGTGATAATGATGTCTAAAAAAGGAAATTCCCCCAAAAATCTTCTCCTTTCTTTGCAGCATTGTGTCATTCACATCCAAATCATGATTTTTTTTGTTAGCCTGCCAGTCTGCTTTCCCAGAACAAATTTTCTGTCACCCAGTGTATTTGTCTTGTTAATGTATTTGTCCTGCATTCATTCATGGATATTTCCATTAAAATGCACCCCCCCCTCATATTCGAAGTCGCCATCTTCCATGTGTGCAGAGGTAGAGAAGGCTGGATGATTCCGACACCCGACCTGTATTTCCCTTACAAGTATAATAGTCATTACTCAGTGTGGATGACTTTCTTGATCACATAGTGCCTGTACGAGGGTCTGCAGTCTGCTGGGGGCTGGGGGGGGGGTTAGAGAATGGTAGACAGGGGTGCCATTGCAGTTCCTGACTTCTGTACTCCCCCCCCCCTTCAGGGTGCAGTTTCGGGAGGAGATTCTGCAGCGTCGCAGGGAGGAGAAGGAAGCACAGGTGCTGATGCGACTGCGGGAGCAGGAGGATAAGCAGGAGCGACTGGAGTCCCTCAGGAAGGAGGTGCCTCATTTCTGTAGTTGCTAATCTCCCCCCCCACCCCAATCAGTGCAATGAGTCGCTCTGACTGAGACGGTTTTCTTTCTGACGAGCCCGTCCATCTGGAGCTCAGTCATCTGGAGCTGGTCTGTGTATATTTGCTGCTGCCATCTACTGGCAGATAGTAGGTAATGCATGGCAGTGTCCAGCCGACGAGTGACGTATCTGTCACCTCTGTCCCAGGTAGCGGTGTTCGTGGGGGCAGACCCAGAGAGAATGATGAAAGACACTCAGGCCTCTAAGAATCGATACCAGACGGGAGCAGAGGAGTTTGTATTGCATAAGCCTCTTTACCATCTGCATACGTACACTGACGCACAGGTGAGACCCCATAAAGAAACTCCCTCTTCCACTTGTCTGCCTGGACAGACTCTACTACCATTTTCTCTAGCAGTTAATCCCTTTGTACGTCTGTAACTTTGTACGTCTGTAACTGTGTCTGTTTCATGTACTCTTTGTGGTAGCCAAGGTAATCGTATCAGTTTACAGCTCACCAATTCAGTGCGTGGCTCAGTGGGTTAGACTGCTGTTCCTGTGACTGGAAGGTTGTCGGTTCAAACCCCTGACTTGCCATAGTGATGTCACCATTGAGGCCCCTTAACCCCTGTTCCAGGGACTGTCTGACCCTGTTTTCTCTCAAGACCGTTCATCACTTTGGATGAAAGCTTTCACTATATTAATGTGGATTTATCAAAGCATGTTTGTCATGACTGTCGTAGAGATACTTGCAACAATATATTTCTTAATTGAAATTCACCCTGTGCACAGAAACCTTGTTAATCAGATACCTCCAAGGGCAAAAGATGAATTTGAATAGGTCTGGATGAACTCATGAGCATCAATCAAGGCTGGGTGTTGATGGGCTATCCATCCATCTTCCAAAAGTTATCCAATACAGGATCACTGGTGCATAATGATTCCAGTATGTTCTAGTAATTTCCATAACCGCCAGAGTTTCTGCACAGGTCACATCAGACCCGAGACTGCGCATCGAATGTGCTCTGCGGGAGGCTGGCCTCCACAACGCCTTGTACGCCCAGGAAGTTCTGTCCGGCATCCATCCCAAGAGGCCACCGCGAAGAGACACTGAGTCCACGGGCTTTCGGTTCTGATTTCACCCAGAAAATGTACGTCACCATTATGCTTTAAATATTTATTTGTATGTGTAATTGTACATATAATATCTATTGTACTCTCTACCAAAGATGCCAATAATTGTTCTATTTTATTCCTTTTTTGTATTAGTAAGTCACTGAAACGCATTTTTCCTACTACTTCTTCTTCTCCCTTAGATATGGGACAGCTGGGCGAAAGCTAAGCTCTCACGCAGGTGGACAATCGCCAGAGTGATTTGGCGAGATATTTGTCTTGCTTGAGTCATGTTGCCCCGTCTCCCCTCAGCTTTGGTCATTAAAACTGCCCCTGAGTCAAACTTCTCCAGTGGCAGCCCACCTTGCCCGGAAAAAAAAACCTGAATCATTGTACAGGGAAGTGGGCTTGGCTAATTACCCCTGGTGATATCACTAAGCGTATGAAGTGCTAATGGGTTCATGCTTGCTGCTAGCAGATTCTATCTCACCCCTAAACAGGAGAAGGGAGGGCCTCTTAACACGGATGTGCTCCATTACCCAGAGTGCTGCTCCCACAGGTTTATTAAGAGAATGTTCCGGAACATGTCCCTTCCATCAATTCAGCAGTTCACCCTGCATGTTCCGGCACCCGCTGGCTGGCTGGATGATTTCGGATGGATTTGCGAGAAAAAATGTAACCAACAGACAGTCTACTCCATGATAAAATGTACCAGACTGTCTTCTAGTGAAGCAGGAAACTGAAGCATGTGACTCGAATTATCAGTCAAGAAATTGCTTCTGTGTGCATTATGCGGAGGGTGTGCGATAATATACTGGAAGGGAGATTAATATGACTATGTGACGTTGTCGCATGCCAGGCTCACACATTGGTACTGTCATATAAGCAAGTCAAGCGCAGAATTAATGTAGCACAACAGCTACAAACTGTTTATTTATTTAACAATAATGACTTTAAAAATGTACATGCACATGCAGATTTGTTAAAATATTACAATTAAATCTGAACAAATCACTGTAAAAAGGTAAAACAAATTAATGGGAAGACCTTAAATAAATACTCACATTGCATAATAGCTTTTTGCATAAATGAATGTAAAAAAAATACAACTGCACGATAAAACATTCAAATATACGCGCACGCACATAAAATGGAAGACAGCTGGAAAAGAAACCCCATAACGTAAACTGTTAGCGAAAAGTCCTGAAAAGCTGGTATTTGACATCCTCAGGTGGGCGATAGCTGCTATCCCTGATGAGAGTGTCGTCACCCAGAAAAGCTCGTTTGCAGTCTCTCGGAATCCCATTTTGAAAGAGTCTTTTGAGATGCGTGTAGGTGGACCCTTCAAACAGGTCACGTAATTAGCTTAAGGTTTGAGGGTTTGGTTTTTCTGTGAATCCCAGAGGTAAGAAGTCAGGGTTGCATTTGTTTTATGAAGGTTCAGTATGTCAGCTACCTCAGCACAAGCCCTTGAGTTATTTGTTAAGAGATGCACTGAAAATTGGTTGCATTTTCATTACCGTCGCGACTAATTAATTCGCTCTAACGCTACTCCTAAAAATACAATACCATAAGCACTAATGGATGTTTAAACTATAAACAAAGTCAAATAAAAAAAACTGCAAATTGCCATTAATGTTGGAAGTGAAATATAAAATCCCATAAAAGAAAACAAAATTATAAAGTAGACACAAAAGAAAGACTTCTGATTTCTTTTTCCCATAATGCCCTACTCCAGATCCTCCTCAAGTGCTATGGAGCTGGTTTGCTCTGATGTCATGCCTGTAGTGGGGGGGGGGGGGAAACCACATTATGCAGTCAGTCTGAGATTATGGCATTATGACTGCCTGAAAGCTTGTTTACAGGAGTTATGATACATCTGTTCCATTTTTCCACGAAAATACTTCATGTTAACTTCATTCACCCATTTCACTCAACACTTCAAAGCAGATATAAAAATCTAATTTATCTTCCGTCATTTGATTCCTTTAGAACGCTGTGCCTTTGTGTAATTAAAGATCAAAGAACACCTGTGGCTGGGCTCCTCCAAATGGCCTTGAGAGAATAAATAACCTTTAAGCTTTTATTGTGTTTAGCCGCCTCCCAGCACGATCATATCCACGAATGGTTTTGAAGTGGCAACAGTGAAGGTCATGTGCGATGGAATACTTGAGTGGGAGGAAGACGCCTTACTTGAAGCGTCGTCGTCATTGGGGGACTTCTTATCTTCCTCCACGTAGCCAAAGCTCAGCAGCTTCGACATGCAAACGGGGGGCATCTTCTTGTCATAGGACCTGCCCACAGACAAACCCGCAAGAACGGCAGAAATGTAGCAGCGTAGGGGAACCAGGCGGTCTGTGCTCAAATAGGTCATGTGACTTATCACAGGCTGACACACCTCGCAGAGCTCAGCGGCACTACGTCCACAAAGACGTGCGTTTTCAGGCATTTTCGCAGTAATTTATACAACGATTTAAGAAGTGGACCTCAGGAATACCAAAAACGGGGCACGTTAACAAAACATGATCTCAAGAAAATTACTTCAGTGTTACCAAATATGCTGATATCCCCTGTGAATGATTACAGTGAAAGAAGTTCATTTTCACAAACAGATATTCTCTTAGTGAAGCAGATATCAAAAATGTAACTCTGCCCTCTCTGAGATTATGAACAGATATGCTGGTAATTCTTTTAGTAAAATAATGAAAAGAGTGTAACCATATATCAAATTTAATACTGTAGCCAGCTATCTAGATTTTACTACTTTGGATTCAGAAATATTTAAATAACATCATCATAACACTGTACACATATACAGTACTATGCAAACATCTTAGGCAGTCACAGAAACTTAAGTTTAAATTATTTTCATGTTGGAGTAATGCCTCATTGAGTCATTTAACAAATCAAGTTAATTAATAGAGCTGGTTGAGAAATTTAATGAATACACAAAATTGCTGAGGAGCCCTTAAGGAGAGGTTTGGGAACTGAAGCAGTTTACCTAGTCATCCAGTAAGATATTAGTAACTATCTGGAGAACAGATGGAATGAACTACTTCTTATTTTAATGTAAATTTTGTTAATTTATAATGTTAAATTGTGTTTTTTTTTTTGAGAAAATATACAATTAGTATTAAGATGAATAGCTTTAAACGTTTTCTTTGCCTAAGATTTCTGCACAGTGCTGTATATCTGTGTTTTGACCTTGTAAATTATATGGCACTATATTGGTAAAAATACATTGTTTTCCCACATCAAAGAGAAAAATGTCCGAACATCAAACCCTGTCACTAGTGTACTGGATATATTTCCAAAATCCACTGATTAGTTCACAAAAATGGGAATAAGGAAAAAGTAATTCTGTTCATAGTGAGAATTATGCGCCTGTCGAAAAGCATTGCCTACGTATGTTAATACACGGTTGCTAGGAAAAATTATATCGCCACCTGGTGGCGAAACGCTCAATATTATCTCCTGAAAAGTACTCACCGCCTCTTAAACCTGTTTGCCTCTCCGTAATTTAAAGCAGTAAAAGACAGCTTCTGCATTTGGTCGGTGGCCTCGTCGACTGGGGACGCCTGGGGATTTAAAAATGTAATGTCTAAATTAGCTATTAAAAAAAAACAGGTTTTTCTGTGCGTTAATAAAAATAGATACCAAACCTTCGTTTGTATATTTATAGCAAAATTAAAAAAATATTATTCATTTTACATTGAAACTTGCAATAAAATAAATCCTCATAAATTCTCATACTGATCACTATGAAAGAAAGGCGTGAGATGAAGAATGACGTATGTCTGCAACAATGACCGACACAGAATGAGAATGGAAAGTGGTAACGTCATTTGGAGAACACTGCGGAAACACGTGACCTGATGGACATTTTCTATTCACCTTCTCTTTACCAGAAAAACTATCATCTTCTCTCTCCCAGGTCGATTTACTGTCACCCCCAAAAGGAGCTTCTATCTTTTGCATGGCCCCCTTAGTTGAACTTTCCTTGGATTCTCCAGATGTCAAACCATCAGAGTTTGATCTTTTAGCTTTGCTGCAAGCAGAAAATCACAGGTCTACATAAACCTTACCTTCCATTCTATCCTAAAACAGACTATTTTATTAAGAGTTTTGTGTTTTTATTAAGAAAATTATTAGATTAGATTAACTTTATTGACCCCAGAGGGAAATTCTTGATCCTTAGCCAGTGGAACTTCGTACACAAAGTCCACACAGCACAGAGTGGAAATTCATTTAACTACAACTAGAAGTGTAGTTTATTGCCACCACACAAGACTCTTTCAAAGCTCCAGCCCACAGGAACAATTCACTCCATTTTCCCCGGATGGACACTGAAGAAGTTTTCTCTTACCTCGTTTTCTGCGGAGCATCTCCATTGGTGGGGAACCCGAACGGCGCTTTGGGTTTAGCGTTCGTTTTGGAATCCTCATGCCACAGTAAACCTGGTGTGAGGTTTCAGAGGGGGAAAAAAATCACTTTTTGCCTTTAAATTCTGCTGTCCCCACTGAAATATATGAAACAGATACAAAACACATTGCTGTAAAATGAAATAGGCCTATTTGGCATATAATTATGTAACACTATATATTCACCCTAGTTATAAACACTGGGGGGAAAACAATTTCGGGAGACCATCACCTCCATATTAGATATGTTGTTCCTTTTTTAATGAATAGGGGTATTTATAGTAAATGTACCCTTTTGCCCCCCTTGCTTGGCGAGCTTCACGTAATCCGAGTCTGTCTCGAAGATGCCGACGCGGCGGCCGGGTCTCGCCTCCTCAGGAGCAGCGTCTGCACAGTGCGACAGCCCCGGAATCTGGGACGCAGGTCCCTCGATACCGTTGGTACTCGCAATCCCGTGCTCGTGTACGTTAAAGCCTAAGAAAATAAATGTGCAATACATTTTTAACCAATACGTAATTAATTTTCTCACATGTGTTAAGACCCGTCTGTTTCCTTATTTAGACTACGTTATATGATATACCAACACAGGCAGCAATAATGATCAAACCATAAAAACCATGAATCTGGGTGAAACCGGAAATGCAAAGATTTGGGCTCGTGTTTTACCAAGACCAGCAACGTTGAAATATGTAATATTCGGTCGACGATTTAAAGCATAATATCATGCCTATTTTCCGTAAAAGGGAAGCGATCTGGCAAATATCAGATATTAGGCTATCTATCTGGGTATTAATTTGCGTCAAGAGTCCTGCAGTATTTGGAAAATATATTTAATTAGTACAGGACAGTACTGACTATTTGTGTTCCATCATGTGAGCTGACATTGTATCCTGATCGATGTTTAAATTAAACATTTCATTAGCTGAGATAGCATAAAAGCCAGTACACGACGCGACCCTGGGCGGCTGCGATTTGGCCACCCATGGTCTACAAAAAAACAAGTCCTGTCGGCAGCTCACGACTTGCATGGTGGGCTAGGCGCGGTTTTGTGCATCTCATATCTCAAATGCATTATTTTTAAACATTATTTATATTATAAGTCAAGTCCAGCATCGAAAACACGCAAGACTCTAATAGAACTGTTTTTGCAAATAGGCGCACTTTACGCCCCGTAATATCCGCTACACCTTATAATAAAAAACCCGATTATAGACTCCTCTTTTAAATCGACATTTATTTTCTGAAGCCTGATATTATAAATATTTTTGAGAACAAGCAATGTAGTAAAAAAAATGAAGGAAAAATGTAGGAAATGGAAAAAAAAACATGCAGACTTGAACACTTGCCATGTTTCAGCCGTCGGTGGTTTTTCTTGGTACTCATTACCGAAAATATCCCGCTGTAAATATCAACAGAAAATGAGGAGATTACATGTTTTTCATGACAAAACCTATTCGTCGTTATTAAGCAGCAGTGCAGATGAGACTCGGCCCCCAAGCGAAACGGTATATTAGCTATAAGGACACACGGCAAACAATTAATTAATGTCCCCGAATTTACAGCACACTTTCTTTAACGTGGCGGAGATTTATTTGCCAGGTATTAAAATATGACGTTGATATCGAGTTACGTATTGCCAGGAAGCTAACAAAAGCAGACAAAGATAAACAGCCGTAGTGTATTCGGCGGCCATACCGTTACATTCAGCCGTACATGACGCACGCCTGTAGGAAAAAACTAGAAACTGCAAGCTTGCTCTCATCTATTACTGTATTGTTATTGCTATTAGGTGCGCACACCAAATTTACCCCATCGGTCATTTTAAAGCATTTTAAATAATAGGATTATGTTTTGGATAGACACCTACCAAGCTAGGCGCTGCCAGCACGCTGTTTCCGGAGGATGATCAGTCCCTCGGTAACCATGGAAATGAGATGGGAGATGGCGGAGGAGGACGCCCAGGGTACCACTCAGCGCCGCATCCGGCAGCGAGTGCGGGCGCCTTCGATGCCACAATCAATGCGCTCCTCTCCTAGAATCACTTAATAAACCATCAGGGCTCAGATTCCAGTCTTTAAAAAGTGAATGCATTTCCATCTACTCAAGTGTCCTAGAAGTACACCCACAAAAAACAATTTAAATATGTATAGAAAGGTTTACATTTTGCAATACTCTCTGGCGACTTGACGTATATGCTTCTACAGTATATCTGCAAGGTCTTGCAAATGTGAATGACGTTTGTTTTTAAGGTATATAAATATTTTAGAAACAGAGTTCTATAAAGAATGGACAGTGGGCGACAAGCTCACCCCAAGACAGTCATTCACAAATACTCTCAACGTGTAACCAGTTCACCTTCCCGCTTGTTAAAAGAATGCAGCAGAAACTTGCAAACTTCCCCCGCTCTGTGCTGGGATTTCATTATGGGACCTCCCGCGCTACAGGGGGCAGCATTACATAGCAAACGTGGTGAATTAGGCTCCTTAACTTAAAGTAGAAAATGTAATATGGTGAATGAAAATCTATTTTATTTAGCCTAATTAATATATTTGGGTATTTAAAATGTTTCAAACTACCCAAATAATATAAAAACTAAAATACAACCATTAAGTCAATATAAACCCAATTTGCTTACAAAAAATATCCTGCACAGATGTTCACTGAAGATATACCGTATTATAACTTTCGTGAGCATTCGTGTCCGAACATGTTAAATTTCGCATTTGTGAGCAAACAGCACTCAGGCAGTCCACGCATGGACTATAACTTACAGAAACGTCAGGGTATATTCAGTGTTCACGCATCTTAACTATTCCCTACAAATACAGTTCGCCTTCAAAATGTATACATAAAGTATCATTAGTCTTGCATAACTTGCTCTTCTATATCCAGTACAATAACGAATCATTTCTCTTATGGAGAAAGTTTGAAGGGGAGATTGTGCCGCTTGATATGCGCAAACACATGCAATTTTGCAGGTGAGATTTCACACACGGTCACTCTCTCCCCAGGTGTCCAGTGTGGCAATGAGCGCAGAGGAAATGATGTAGTAATGATCTTTAATTACAGCCAGAAGCAGGGACGCCTCTCTCTTTCTCTCCAGTCGCCGAAGTCGTGCTATAGGCTCACAGCAAACTTTCCTAGTTTTTCCCAGTGTCTTTTTTTCGGACCGGATTTCCATTGTCCCCTTTCGGAGTATGAGAGCCGCAGTAACCACGAAGAAAGCGGAGGACGGCGATGCCTGATGAGACGGGCGGCTTATGGTCTGATAAAGAAAACAAAAACAGCACCTTCGGGTCTGAGACCGCTGGCCGATTGCAGCCGCTGTGCTGCAAACTGCAAAGTGCACATTTATTCGCAGCCTTTAAAGCACTTCCTGAATTTTTAAGGTGAGTTATCGCTTCCTTCTCATTCCCTAACTAAAGCACTTAGTTATCTAAACCTCCCAACTTTGTGTTCGTCGATCTTTCACTCGTTATTGAACTGACAAGACGCAACCTTCTGAGGTTTGGCTACACAAACCAAAAATATTTTGCATGATGAAAGCAGTATATTTTGAAAATGCGTTGGCTTTACAAATGCGTTAGGAATGAGTTTTTAAATAATTCAAAATATACTCGGCTCAGGCACATCGTGATTCCGTTTTTATGTTGCTTGGGTGAAACGGTAGGCTACTATTTAATGTTGTTTAAGATACCCTTTATTGCAAATATAATATTACTACCCCTGTATTGAAGTTGGATATATTATACTCTACGATTTATCTGGATAAATTTAAAATGTGGCGCAGCCAGTTGACACATTCTTACGGGGTCTTTTGTCATGTAGAGCCGGGATGGGAACAAGCCCCCCGCCCCCCCCGATCTTCACTCTCCCGTAGTTGGGTCAATCTGCCCCCCGATGTGAAGTAAGCATTACAATGGGCGCCGTACCCCACGCTGTCAAAGTCTGATAATAGCGGCTAACAAAATTTAGATACGGTCGTGCATCTTTAAAATGTATATTAGACATTGACGGTGGGGGAAGGCGAAGCGGAAACACGGTGGTTCGGTGCACACATTTTGCACACTAATACCATTGATAATATGCAACCTGCATAATACAATGATGAGTAATAGACTTTAAAAACCATACCGGAATTCGTTCTTGTTTTTAATAATAGTGAAATAAATGTGGAAAATTTCTAATTATTTTCATTCGTTGATTGAAACGGGGTTTTTGTAGCGGACGCGAGGTGTTTTACTTAAGGATGAATCCAGACCGTTACTAAGGACGTGTTTCTGTTCCATAAGACCGCGCGTGAGAATTAAGCTGTAATATACTAGCATATCATGGATGAATGAACTGTACTTCTGTGTTAAGATAAAGTAGGAAAGTCTTATCCTAACCTTGAAAGTGTCATGCATTTATATGCATTGAATCACCCTATGGGATTGTTCTGTGATTGGCTGAACTGTAATCACCAAAAAGGTGAATAAAGCAGAATGTGGTTACAAATTATAAAATTGGTAGTTCTTGGCTATATAGGTGTTCTTGAATGTAGATGACCAACTTTTTTAATTATGTGTCTTAGTTCACTACAACCAGCTGAGGGTTTATATATTAGATATTGATTTTTTTTTTGGCTGAAAGTTCAAGATTAAGAACTGATCAGACCTTTTGTGCTGCAAAGGAGCAGCGGATGAAGTAGCAGTGACTAATCTGCAAAAGGTCGCCTATCTGAGGAAGGGCTCTAATGTTGTACCTATAAGGAAGGTACATAACTCAAATTGGAAATGTAACTTAATGTCCTTTGCCAAAGTATAGTTAACTATACTCTTCTACAGTATACTATAGTAGTATACTTATAGTAGTCTTGAAATGTGGTGGGTGGGTTTAATGTAGGTTTAAACCAAGACTTAATTTGCTCCATTCAGAAAATACTATCTGTATCCTATCTGTACTACTAATGATTTTGTTTTTAAAGGAAATTGTAAGAGATGCTTGCATGGCTCTTACATTACTCCAAAAGAAAAAAAAAAAAGGATGGCATTTTCTGAAAGCTGTGTCACCGTGTGTTACCGCAATTCATGATTTTGTCACCTTATGCAACCTGAGAGTCCCACCTAGACCTGCAGACAATGAAAGGATTCCCCCCCCCCCCCCCCTCCAATAAACAGTATGGCTCAGCAAGCCATGTGATACATTTGGCGCCAGACTTTATTTAGCCTGAGTAGGTGTTATTAACAGTAAGAGTGATTATATGTATAGGACATTGGGGGGGGTAATCGTATGAATGGTAATCTTCGTCTGTGGCCATTTCAGCCTTTTTGGGTGGTGTATTAATATGTGAAAATTGGGTTAGCATTATGAGAGATTTCTAGGCTATAAGTAATGGAAAATTAAGTGAATAAGCAATGAAATTGTCTGGGAAGTGGAAGGGTTGGAATGTGGCGGGGAAGTCGCAGATTCCTGTGCTTGGTGTGCAGTCAGACGCGAGGATCTCAGCAGGTTGCATATGGGGATCCTGCGGCTGCCGAATTTGCTCGTTTCTTTAATTTAAGACGAGGCTGCCAGTTTCAGGTTAGAACAATGGATGTTGACATCATGTCAGGTGTCAGTCTGACAAACACTGAGGAATGTGGACAATTAATGTTCTGTAATTGGATAAAGATGCCCTCCATCCCTGAGATCATGTGCTGGCACTACGTTTCATATTAGTTTTTATTTTTTTGCTAAGTGAATCTTTTCCTTTTGCTCTAATGAAGGGTATAGCTACTTAGAGAAGGTTAATAGCATCATTGTACAAAAATGTTTCTCCCATTTACTTTACAGTACTCGGGGAGTACCTTGTGCGGCACTGTTGAATATGTGTCTTGTACATTATGAGCTTTGATTATATTAGTTAAATTAACAAGATTCCCATAATGTGTAATACATTGACATCAAGCAAGTGGCGAATAATTCATTACCGTTATTAGTTGTGCATCGCAAGTGCTCAGTGTTTACTTGCGCTGTCTCGCTCTCTCTCCTTCCCTCTCTCTCTCTCTCTCTCTCTCTCTCTCTCTCATTCTCTCTCTCTCTCTCCCTAAGCTTTTTGCACATCTGTCTGGATAACCTAGAAAATCAGTAAGTCTAGACTTTACCCTCAGCCATTCGCTGGAGGGTTTTAAGCTGAAAGGCGAGAGTGGACTAAGGGGGAAGGGGGTGGACGATTCCTCCAGCAGTAATAGTTTTTCAGCGCTCAGTAATTTGGCTGTCAGGAAGAGCTGGCTGTGGGGGCTGGAACAATGTAGGAGCGAGGGGAGATGGAGGGGCTCTCTCAGGGAGGCGGCTGGGGGGGATCGGGTTACAGCCTCTGTCATTAACCACAGGCGGTGCCACACACTGAGTCGGGCGGCTTCAAGTCTGGGCTGCAGCCCCGGGACGCTGGCGGGTAGGTGTCCCGTTGGACTCGTCCGGGAGGGGCGGAGGGAGGTGGTTTTGTGTGTGTGTGTGTGTGTGTGTGTGTGTGTGTGTGTGTGTGCGCGCGCGTTACGATGCCTGGCGGCTCAATCGGGACCCAGTCTCTTTAAGGAATCATCCATCGGTGATGACGGCGCCTTTGCCTGCAAGCTGACATGCGAATCAGGCGGAGAGTAAGTTTTAGTTTATAGTGTTTGGAGGGGGGAGGGCTGCGATCAAGCCTGGAGCACTGGACTCTGGCGGTTCTGTCTTCTGTTATTTGTATCATTTAGGATTGGTCTTTCTGTAAGGCGAGTTGTTAAAGAAAAAGAAAATCCAGACGCGTTTGATGATCGCAGAATTGCGCACATGAAACGAGATTTCGGGGTGAATCTCATCAGTAACCGGCGGGCGCTTGCAGCTTCGCGTCTTCTTACATGGGAAGTAAAATAGTCTGAGGTTTATTCAAGCAGACTTTTAAGAGCCCCCAGCCGCCCCCGCCTCGGCGGTTCTTTTTGTCTGCACAGATGCGGGCAGGAGACAGATGTAAATGACACTAGGAAAGCCTGTCTCCGATCGGTTACGTTTAGCTTTTAACGCCGGAGCCGGCGGGGCACGTTCTAGTGCCGTCAGGCTCAGTCGTATCGGGAACGGGCCTAGTATAAAGTCTGCAATAACACTCACAAAACACTGTTTGCTTTAACATTTATTAAAGTTACTCAGCTATTTTTTAGAGTAGGCAAGATGATCACTAGTTTTACGGCTCTCTATAAGTTTTTTTTTTTTTTTTTGTCATCTTATCCAAGTTTTGAGAATGTGTAATTTTAAGAGAGCGTTTCGATATACATTCGTATTATTTCAGAAATGGCGATCTTAAGTAGGCTTACAAATTGTTTCAAATCATATTCTCACCATTTAACTTATTTGTCGTGACTTGCTGTTTTATGTTGCGGATTGTGTTTTCTGCGTTAGAATTTTCTTGACTTAAAAGCACAAGTGTGAGTAATCGTACAGCAAACTCTGGGAACTGATTTATGTAGTGCGCACATTGCCTTCACAGCCACATACGATCAGCGTGATTATGGGCTGCTTTTATGGTGACCCTACACGGGCAAGGAGTTGATCCCTTTGTGTATCGGGCCACAACGGGATCTCTGACCCGGCAGGGGTGCGTCCCGGTATGAGTAAAAGCGGTATTCTACATGGTTTTTGGGGATTGCCTTGCTAATAGGAATATGGGAAATCTCTCAACAGAATTTTATCGTTTATTTGTAACCTTTAAAGCTCATTCTTGCTTCCAAGTACCAGCCTCAAAAGATCGAAATAAAACTATTCCCTAACGCACTATAAAGGCTACCTACTTTACGCCTTCCGTAAAAAATAAAACATGGGCTATTTTCTTGAGGATGGACGAATGTCTCTGCAAGCGTAGGCAGAGGCATTTAATCATTGAACACTAAACAAAAGAATGAGTCCTGTAATCCCATGATCTTTAATTAAATCTTTTCCTCCTACATGGAGGTATCCCTGTCTGCTCTGTATGATAAAGCCAGAATGTCCGCAGCTTTTTGGAGACAAACTTTTAAGTGCCACGTTAATTATCTGTCAATTAAACCAGGCCTTGAAGGTTCACATCAATGGCTTCTAAACAAAGACTTTCAGGGACAATTATAATCTCGTTTTGCCGTTGACTGATTCGCATAGCTGATTAGCAGGGTTACCAACCCTCACGCATCTGGCGTGACATTCACGCTTTCAGACTCACGCTCACGCAAGAAATCTTACAGCAAATCTATATTATTCCACTGTAAACCTAAAATTGGCTCCATCAAAACCGTTGATGTAGTTTGCAAACACAACGGACTATTTTCAAGGTAACTAAACTGTTGCATACATGTAAATACGTGTGCATGTGTGTGCAGACTTGTCTCAATTGAAAATGTCAACTCAGCCAGCTGACCAAAAC